AGGCGGGGTTTGGCGGGTAAGTTATGGTTCAGAAGAAACGGTTGAGCTGTATGTTAGCAGGCAATAGGAAGTAAGTTAACTCAAGACTTGACGACAGTCAGAAAGTTAGGACTTAATAAGTCTATTCATGCGCTCTGCTTTGCCTGAAGACTGGGCGTGGTATGGTATGTACAGCTTCCAGCAGATACTTAAACTAGAGGATACCTGCTGGGTGACTCTAGAGACAGAGCTAGGACCATTGTCTGACTGCAGAGACATAGGGAGGTTAAACTTGGGGGTGACATGCTGGAGTAGGGCCTGGGTGATTTCATCCGCTGTGGCTCACCCAGTCGGGAAGGCTTTAACCCATCTGGAAAAGGTATCCACTTTAGTTAGGAGATACCTGTATTTCTTTCATGTTGGCATATGTGTGAAATCAACTTGCCAATCCTGTGTCCACTTCAAGTGTCCTCGGAGTTGATGTGTGAGGTGTGGGCAGGATGTTTTCCTGAGTATTTACTAGTTTACACAGAAGGCATCTGTCCTGTACTGAATTAACAAGTGCAGACTTAAGGATGGGGAATGAAACAGAGGTTGGAGGAATTTTAAAAAGCGTTTTGGCGTTTATATCTTGGGACTGATGCACTTGAGTTACAATATTTGCTTCTTGTCCTTGAGGCAAAGCTGCTTTGCTATTTACTATGAACTATTCACTGGGAATTAGGCGGTTTCTATTTTGGGGAAGAGACTACTTTGCTTCTTTCTTCTTCTTCTTCTTCTTCTTCTTCTTCTTCTTCTTCTTCTTCTTCTTCTTCTTCTTCTTCTGCTTCTGCTTCTGCTTCTGCTTCTGCTTCTGCTTCTGCTGCTTCTGCTTCTTCTTCTTCTCCTTCTCCTTCTCCTCCTCCTCCTCCTCCTCCTTCCTTCTTCCTTCTCCTTCCTTCTTCCTTCTCCTCCTCCTCCTTCTTCCTTCTCCTCCTCCTTCTTCTTCTTTTTCTTCACTTATTTTTATTATTTTTAAATTGGTGTACCATCAAATTGGATCCAACTGGCACAGGAGGAGTTTGCCCCTTCTTCTCCAGCAGAGGATCTGGTTGAGAAACTACGTTTCTTCTTTAGTATCTTTTGGATGGAGATCTGGAATGAAGAAAAACAGCATGGGAGTGGCTTGTGGTTGTGATTTTTTTGTAAGCCTCAAGGTTTTGCTGCATGGTCTGCTTTGTTGTTAAAAAGCTCTGCTCATGCTAGATAGCAAAGTGGCCAAGGCGATTAAAAAGGCATGTCTAGAGCCCTGGTGGAGCAGTGGTTAAGTACTCACTGCTAACCAAAAGGTCAGTGGTTCGAATCCACCTAGTGAATCCATGGGAAAGACTAGGTGATCTATTATCCTAAAGATCTCAAACCTACAATGGAGCAGTTCTGTTCTGGCGCATGGAATCACTATGAGTCAGAAGCCAATTTTAAGTGCTCGCCTCGGCAGCACATATACTAAAATTGGAACGATACAGAGAAGATTAGCATGGCCCCTGCACAAGGATGACACGCAAATTCGTGAAAAAGGCATGTCTAGGATTTGTGTAAATGTTGACAGGTAGGCTTCTGGTTAGATGCAGGGCTCTCGTTGGGGCAATAAGCTCAGCTTTTGGTGAGCTTGTGTTCTCAGGAAGGTGTGCTGCTTTCTACACCTTGTTTATGGATCCTACAATATAGGCTGTTTCAGAAGTTACACAAGAGCTGCTGTTTATAAACAGAGGATGGTCTGGATTTGGGAGGGGTTGGTCAGAGAGAGAGGAAAATAAAGACCTAGTAGGATGGCTGGATCAAGGAATGGTGATGGAGAGAGCTAAATGCCAGGATTTTTGAGGGAAAGTGTGTAGAGTTACTGTATCTGCTTATGAGGAAGTAAGGATAGGAAACATCGTGAAAGCAGACCTCCAAGCCTTTGGCTTCCTGCCGGGAGCTTCTCAAGGTAAGAGTCAGTGCTTCTCTAGTGAGCAGAGCTGCAGCTGCTACTGTTCATAGCAGGATTGTCACCTGTGGCTTGAGATATCGAGGTGCTTAGAGAGGTACGTAATGCGCGTAAAGGTGGATTTAAGGGCTGAGCTAAAACACCGACAGCAGTACTTTGCTTTTCCTCACTGAACCGATGGAAAGGTTTAGAGGAATTCGTATAGGACTCTAGAAGGAAGTGTTGGAACTTGAGAAAGGCTCTTCTAACTCTATGGGGTGAACTTAGGGGACTTTGTGGGGTGGCTTTTGCCGCATTATGAAGGGGATTTGCTAAATTTAAACCAGTCATAGTGTTTCTGCATATACTGAAACAACTGCAAAAATAACCTGTCTCTTACTTTTACCCCTGAGGTCTTAAGGAATTTAAGTAACGTAATATAGTGAGCGTCAGAGGATGGGCTGTTCCCCATGCCTCTTGTTTCACTTCTGCCTCTGAGTTCTTTGTTTGTTTGTTTGGTTGGTTTTTTTTTTAACTCACAAATGTCCGATTCCAGCATCTAACTTCCTCTTGCTATAGGTAACATCTTTCACAAGATTGCAGACTTTTTGGGACAGGGGAGTGGTGAAAGAGTATTATAAAATGATAGAGGGGCACAATCCAGTGCAGCAATGAAGGCAGGGAGGGGGAGGGACCACAGGGGGCTGCTGATGGACATTCATGCACTGTCTACCTGGCCTGTATCATTTGATGACCTTTCTCTCTCAGGGTCTCATTTCCCTCATCTGCAGGAAGGACCAGGAGACCAAGGAGGGAACCTCCAAGCGCAGGGTTAGAGGAGGGGCTCCGGGATGGTGGGTCACAGAGGGCTCTGCAGGCGGTTCTTCCTGTGGATGGTGCCTTTCTCTTCCCTTCCCAGCACGAGCCTTCAGGAGCAGGCTTCTAATGCTGTTCCTGGATCCAGGACAGTGCACCCAAAAGACAGCTCGCGGGTGAAACCTGAGGCCAAACAATGGGCAGGACTCTTCTTAGCAGACTTGTTCTGGGGGTGGAATGAGGAGCAGAGGAAAAGGAGGAGGCTGCCTTTCCTTGTTTTCTTCTATCCCTCTGCAGATGCCCTGGTTCATTACTGTTGAACTGTCCATAGGCACAGAAGGACAGACCCAGGTCTTCTTTCTCAGCTCCCGCGCCAGCCGGAGAGCGCACGGCCGCGGCCTCTGCCTCTGAGTTTTTAAGCAATTTAGTAAACTTCAGAGAATTCTCATTAAACCTTTTCTATCTCTACCCCCTCTCTCATCTCCCCTGTTCATCATGTCTGTTTTCATTGTAAAAACTGAAATTCATGTTTGTCCTGCTCTCCAGAAAGTGAAAAAGTTGAAGGACCCTGGAGGACATTATGCTGAGTGAAGCATCTCAGTCACAAAAGGACAAATACTGCATGGTGTCACTGTTGTAAAACAGGAGTGACCTCAGGGTTGGGGGAGACTGAGAAAGATGGGTTCAGTGATGTATACTGCACTGAAAAAGATGAGGGAGAAAACTGTTTAAGAGCAATATGTTATTAGGTATTTTTGTCATGACGGGAGTCCAGAGTGAAGGCTGCATAGTGGAGTGGACCTGGAGGGAGGGATTGTAAAACAATGAAAGAATTTTTCTTTTACTTTTCCAAGAGGGTAGCGTAATAGGAGGGAGGGTTTGGAGGGGAGAAAAGTGCAACAATGAATGAATGGAAATCCAAAGTCTCTGTTAATTTTCATAAAAATTAATAAAAAAAAAAGAAAATGAATGGAGGGCAAAAAGAGAGTGAGAAAATGTACCCACAACTTTGATACTAGACTCCTGGCTCCGTGGAGGAAATCAGGTTCCTGTTTTTAGGCTGGTCAGGCCTGGTGGCCTCTTCTGCTTTGGGAAAAGTCAGTGCATCCATGTGTCTGTGTGGGCAGAAGGAAGAGACCCCTGGAGCTGCGTGAAGAATGCAGATGAGCTCCCGGACCCTCCTGCCTGATCTGCCGTCATTGAAAATGCCCTGAGGTGGAGCCCAGAATGAGTGGAAAATCAGACTCTCTGTTCTCCAGTGGAATCCATTCATCGATGCCTCTACTTTAGGGTTTCAGTGACCGTAAATCACAGGACAGGAAATGGCCCATCTTTATACCCTGAGCTGCTGGTGGATTTTCTCAGACTGAGAGGCCCAGCAGATGGGTTGTGTGTCCTCCCAGGACCGAGGTGTGTTGTGTGTTGTGGTCCGACAGGTGCTGTGGGTCCAGGTCAGGCCGGGAATGTGCTTGGTGGTTCTGTGTTAGTAGTGGACATGCAGTTCCGTGTCCTGACCACCAGACGGCGACCTCGGTCAGCTTTCCCGGCTTCACTCACAAAGCCTTCGCCTTCACTGTCCTGGTCTGTAAGGTGGACACTGGGGACTTGCTCTTTCAGGGTCGAGGCGCAATTGCCTCCTCTAGGGTAACTGCTTGAAGGGCCTTGTTTCGTGGTAACTCAGGGTTCAGGCCTCTTGGGGACCCTGATTCCACACTGACTGTGGTGGCATCTGTGTGAAACGCTGTGTTGGGTCCCCTTTGCTCAAGCTGCTTCTCTAAGCAGGACACTGTATTAATGAAATCTTGAGTATTTTGTTTATTCTACAAACAGTTGTGAACATTTTTTTAACAGTTTTGAATATTTTAAAAGGTTTTCAGAACCCATTTGTATGTGTGGCCAGCCAGGGACCGATCTTCAGCTGTGACTGGACGAGAGTGGCCGTCATTGTGGGTCACCTGGTGCGTGCAGAGAGGCAGCAGCGGGAACCTCTCGGGTCTAGAACCCAGTGGCCCCGCGGGGCACCCACTCAGGTCCTTGCGGTCACCTCCAGCCTGCAAAAGGGCGGACAGCAGGCGCCTCCACTCTCAGGGCCCCACTTGGGCCACAAAGGCCATGGGGACAAACAGGCCACTGGTCGTGTCCTGACTCCGGCCGGACAGAGAAGCCCCTTGCCGTGTCCGACTCCAGCAGGCTCTGGTGTTGGCCTGTCCCTTCAGAGAGGGGCGTCTCCTGTCATTTCTCATGCTGGCTTTTGGTGCAGTGACGTCTATTTTGACTGGTCACAGCGCTGCAGGACGGAGGTCAGCCGCCCTGTGGACGCTGAGCCCCTGAGCAGTGAGCGCCGCCTCTATAATGCGCGCTGCTCAGGGGACTGGACACAACCCCGGGCACCTAGGTCATCAGTGCAGGTTCACACACGGACCTCCTCCGCTGACGGACCGCTCGCCTGGGAACCGGAAGTGTGTGTTCTCCATAGTCCGCCGGGTGGAGTGGAAATCTCTTCCCATCCCGAGAGCTAGTGCTGAGACAGTTCATACATGTCATTAAAGAAAACGTGGGCTTTTCCTTATTGGAGAAACAAGGTGTAAACAGATCCTAGTTTCTCTGCTAAAGCCCTAAATGCAGTCAAGTTAGGTGGTGGTTGTGTATGGGCGCTGGATGTGCAGGTTGGGCAGCGGGAGTGAGGCCCAGGAGGCCCGTGTGCTCAGAGGAATGTTCCGGACTAGCTTCAGGTGCCACGTTTCTTGTATTGGGAGACTTCTATCCTGTCCTGGTCTCTCTGGGTGAGACTCGGAGCTTCCTCCCCGGGGATGAGGTACAGTGGCCTCGGGGTGGACCCTGGTCCACTTCCCCTCAGGGCTGGTGGCTCGTGTGCTCATGGCACCTGTGGTTCTGGTTTTTGTGGGCGCGATGGCGGGTTTCTTGTGGAGGAAATGCCTTTTTCTCTTATTTTTACTGACCCCCTGGCCGTTGACCTCAGGCTTATGTTTTGGGAGAGATGGGGACACCGTGCCCGGGCAGCACCTGGGTGCAAAATCCGGGTTGCAAATAGATGTGTGTCCCTCCAGGCCCAAATGTGACGCCACCCCAGGATCGATGTGTGTTGTGTGTTGTGGTCTGACAGCTGCTGTGGGTCCGGGTCAGGCAGGGAATGTGCTTGGTGGTTCTGTTACTTGTGGACATGCAGTTCTGCGTCCTGACCACTAGACGGCGACCTCGGTCAGCTTTCCCGGCTTCACTGACAAAGCCTTCGCCTTCACTGTCCTGGTCTGTAAGGCGGACACTGGGCACTTGCTGTTTCCACGTCGAGGTGCAATTGACTCCTCTAAGGTGACTGCTCGAAAGGTCTTGTTTCGTGGTAACTCAGGTTTCAGGCCTCTTGGGGACCCTGATTCCACACTGACCGTGGTGGCATCTGTGTGAAACACTCTGTTGGGTCCCCTTTGCTCGAGCTGCTTCTCTACGTAGGACACTTTGTTAATAAAATCTTGAGTATTTTCTTTATTCTACAGTTGTGAACATTTTTTTAGCGGTTTTGTACATTTTAAAAAGGTTTCAGAACCCATTCGGATGTGTGGCCGGCCCAGGACCGATCTTCAGCTGTGACTGGACGAGAGTGGCCGTCATTGTGGGTCACCTGGTGCATGTGGAGAGACAGCAGCGGGAACCTCTCGGATCTAGAACCCAGTGGCCCTGCGGGGCACCCACTCAGGTCCTTGTGGTCACCTCTGGCCTGAGGAAACACAGACGGCAGGCGCCTCCACTGTCAGGGCTCCACTCAGACCACAAGGGCCACAGGGAAAGACAGGCAACTGCCTGTGTCCTGTCCCAACCGGACAGAGTCCACTGGGTGCGTTTTGATGCCGACAGGACACAGAGGCTACTGGCCGTGTCCTGACTCCAGCAGGCTCTGGTTTTGGCCTGTCCCTTCAGAGAGGGGTGTCTACTGTCATTCCTCGTGCCGCCTTTTGTTGCAGTGACGTAGATTTTGACTGGTCACGGGACGGAGGTCAGCCGCCCCGTGGACGCTGAGCCCCTGAGCAGTGAGCGCCGCCTCTATAACGCGCGCTGCTCGGGGTACTGGACACAACCCTGGGCACTTTGGTCGTCAATGCGTGTTTGCACAGAGACCACCTCTGCTGACAGACCTCTCGCCTGGGAACTAGAACTGTGTGTTTCATAGTTCGCCGGGTGGAGTGGAAATCTCTTTCCAACCCGAGAACTAGTATTGAGCCAGTTCATACATGTCATTAAAGAAAACGTGGGCTTTTCCTTATTGGCGAAACAAGGTGTAAACAGATCTCAGTTTCTCGGGTAAAGCTCTAAATGCAGTCATGTTTGGTAGTGGTTTTGTCACAGAACCCTTGTGTCTGGGCGCAGGATATGCGGGTTGGGCACCAGAGTGAGGCCCGTGTGCCTGTAGGAATTAAACCGGACAAGCTTCGGGTGCCACATGTCTTGTGTTGGAGACTCCGAATATGCTGTCCTGGCCTCTTTGGGCGAGACTCGGAACTTCCTCCCTGGGGATGAGGTACAGTCGCCTTGGGGTGGACCCTGGTGCACTTCCCCTCAGGGTTGGCGGCTCGCATCCCCATGGCACCTGTGGTTCCGGTTTCTGAGGGCGGAGTGGAGGGTTTCTGGTGGAGGAAATGCCGCTTTCCTCTTTTTACTTACCAGCTAGCAAGAGACCGAGGGCTTATGCTTCTAGAGAGACGCGGGCATAGGGTCTGGGCAGCACCTGGGTGCAAAATCGGGGTTGCAAGTGGATGTGTGTCTCTGCAGGGACCAGATGTTGCACCGCCCGGGATTGATGTGTGTTGTGTGTTATGGTCTGACAGCTGCTGTGGGTCCGGGTCAGGCAGGGAATGTGCTTGGTGGTTCTGTGTTAGTTGTGGACATGCAGTTCCATGTCGTGACCACTAGACGGCGACTTCGGCTGGACACAACCCCGGGCACTTAGGTCGTCAGTGCGTGTTCGCACACGGACCGCCTCTGCTGACGGACCTCTCGCCTGGGAACCGGAAGTGTGTGTTCTCCATAGTCCACCGGGTGGAGTGGAAATCGCTTTCCAGCCCGAGAGCTAGTGCTGAGCCAGTTCATATATGTCATTAAAGAAAACGTGGGCTTTTCCTTATTGGAGAAACAAGGTGTAAGCAGATCCCAGTTTCTCCGGTAAAGCCCTAAATACAGTCAAGTTAGGTGGTGGTTGTGTCACACAATCTTTGTGTCTGGAGGTGGATCTGTGTGTCGGGCACCGGGAGTGAGGCCACCAGCCCGTGTGCCTGGAGGAATTAACAGGACAAGCTTGAGGTGCCATGTGTCTTGTGTTGGAGACTCGGCCTCTCCTGTCCTGGTCTCTCTGGGTAAGACTCGGAGCTTCCTCCCTGGGGATGAGGTACAGTGGCCTCGGGGTGGACCGTGGTGCACTTCCCCTCAGGGATGGCGACTCGAGTTCCCATGGCACCTGTGTTTCTGGTTTTTGAGGGTGGAGTGCTAGGTTTCTGGTGGAGGAAATGCCGCTTTCCTCTTCCTTTTACTGACTCGCTGACCAAGGGCTTATGTTTTGAGAGAGTCAGGGCCACCAGGTCTGGGCAGCACCTGGGTGTGTTGCAAGTGGATGTGTGTCTGTGCAGGGACCAGATGTTGCACCGCCCGGGACTGATGTGTGTTGTGGTCCAACAGCTGCTGTGGGTCCGGTCAGGCAGGGAATGTGCTTGGTGGTTCTGTGTTAGTTGTGGACATGCAGTTCCATGTTGTGACCACTAGACGGCGACTTCGGCTGTACACAACCCCGGGCACTTAGGTCGTCAGTACGTGTTCGCACACGGACCGCCTCTGCTGGCGGACCGCTCGCCTGGAAACCGAAAGTGTGTGTTCTCCATAGTCCGCCGGGTGGAGTGGAAATCTCTTTCCAGCCCGAGAGCTAGTGCTTAGCCAGATAAAACATGTCATTAAAGAAAACGTGGGCTTTTCCTTATTGGAGAAACAAAGTGTAACCAGATCCCAGTTTCCCAGGTAAAGTCCTAAATGCAGTCAAGTTAGGTGGTGGTTGTGTCACGGAACCTTTGTGTCTGGGTCCTGGATGTGCGGTTTGGGCACCGGGAATGGGGACAGGAGGCCCGTGTGCCTGGAGGAATTGACGGGACAAGCTTCGGGTGCACGTGTGTTGTGTTGGAAACTCGGCCTCTCCTGTTCTGGTCTCTCCGGGCGAGACTCGGAGCTTCCTCCCCGGGGATGAGGTACAGCCGCCTCGGGGTGGACCCTGGTGCACTTCCCCTAAGGGTTGGTGACTCGAGTCCCCATAGCACCTGTGGTTTCAGTTTCTGAGGGCGGAGTGGAGGGTTTCTGGTGGAGGAAATGCCGTTTTCCTCTTCTTTTTTGGGAGAGACGAGCACACCATGTCCGTGCAGCAATGGGTGTAAAATCGGAGTTCTAAGTGGATGTGTGTCCGCCCTGGGACCAATGTGTGTTGTGTGTTGTGGTCCGACAGCCGCTGTGGGTCCGGGTCAGGCAGGGAATGTGCTTGGTGGTTCTGTTAGTAGTGGACATGCAGTTCCGAGTCCTGACCACCAGACGGCGACCTCGGTCAGCTTTCCCGGCTTCACTCACAAAGCCTTTGCCTTCACCGTCCTGGTCTGTAAGGTGGACACTGGGGACTTGATCTTTCCGTGTCGAGGATGAATTCCCTCCTCTAGGGTGACCGCTCGAAAGGCCTTGTTTCATGGTAACTCGGGGTTCAGGCCTCTTGGGGACCCCGATTCCACACTGACCGTGGCTGCATCTGTGAGAAACGCTGTGTTGGGTCCTCGTTTCTCGAGCTGCTTCTCTAAGTAGGACACTGTATTAATGAAACCTTGAGTATTTTGTTTATTTTACAAACAATTGTGAAGATTTTTTTGTTTTAGCAGTTTTGAAAATTTTAAAAATGTTTCAGAACCCATTTGGATGTGTGCCTGGCCAGGGACCGATCTTCAGCTGTGACTGGACAAGAGTGGCTGTCATTGTGGGTCACCTGGTGTGTGCAGAGAGGCAGGAGGGGGAACCTCTCGGGTCTAGAACCCAGTGGCCCCGCGGGGCACCCACTCAGGTCCTTGTGGTCATCTCTAGCCTGCAGATATATGGGCAGCAGATGCCTCCACCATCAGGGTCCCACTTGGATGACAAGGGCCACAGGGACAGACAGGCGACTGGCCGTGTCCTGACTCCAGCAGGCTCTGGTTTTGTCCTGTCCCTTCAGAGAGGGGCGTCTCCTGTTATTCCACGTGCCGCCTTTTGGTGCAGTGACGTCGATTTTGACTGGTCACAGCGCTGCAGGACGGAGGTCACCCGCCCTGTGGACGCCGAGCACCTGGGCAGTGAGCGCCACCTCTATAACCTGCGCCGCTCAGGGGACTGGACACAACCCCGGGCACTTAGGTCATCAGTGCGTGTTCGCACACAGACCGCCTCTGCTGACCGACCACTCGTCTGGGAACCAGAAGTGTGTGTTCTCCATAATCCCCCGGGTGGAGTGGAAATCTCTTTGCAGCCCGAGCCCTAGTGCTGAGCCAGTTCATACGTGTCATTTAAGAAAACGTGGGCTTTTCCTTATTGGAGAAACAAGGTGTAAACAGATCTCGGTTTCAAAGCTAAAGTCCTAAATGCAGTCAAGTTAGGTGGTGGTTGTGTCATAGAACCTCGGTGTCTGGGTGCTGGATATGTGGGTCGGCCACTGGGAGTGAGGCCCAGGAGGCCCGTGTGCCCGGAGGAGTTTCCCGACAAGCTTTGGGTGGCACGTGTCTTGTGTTGGAGACTCGGCCTCTCCTGTCCTGGTCTCTCTGGGCGAGACTGAGCTTCCTCCCCGGAGATGAGGTGCAGTCGCCTCAGGGTGGACCCTGGTCCTCTGCCCCTCAGGGTTTGCAGCTCTTGTCCCCATGGCACGTGTGGTTCAGCTTTTTGCAGGCGTGGTGGCGGGTTTCTGTTGGAGGAAATGCCGTTTTCGTCTTTTTACTGACCCCCTAACAGGTGACCGCGGGCTTATGTTTCGGGAGAGACGGGAACACCGTGTCCTGGTGGCACCTGGGTACAAAATCGGGGTTGGAAGTGGATGTGTGTCCATCCCCCCCCTCCCCCACGGGACTGGATGTGTGTTGTGTGTTGTGGTCCGACAGCTGCTGTGGGTCCGGGTCAGGCCGGGAATGTGCTTGGTGGTTCTGTTAGTAGTGGACATGCAGTTCTGCATCCTGACCACCAGACGGCGACCTCGGCCAGCTTTCCCGGCTTCACTGACAAAGCCTTCGCCTTCACTGTCCTGGTCTGTAAGGCGGACACTGGGGACTTGCTCTTTCAGGGTCGAGGCGCAATTGCCTCCTCTCGGGTGACTGCTCGAAGGACCTCCTTTTGTGGTAACTCGGGGTTCAGGACTCTTGGGGACCCCGACTTCCCAGGAACCATGGCGACATCTGCACAATCGCTTGCTGTCCCTCCTACTCTGGCATCTGGCGACCCCGTCCTGCCCGTCGGGTTTATCCCTTCTTGAGCACAAAGTGGACTTTATCTCGAAGTTTTGTGCCTTTGAGCAGAGTCACTGCTGACTATCTGACCGAGTGAGCGGGAGTCAAGGGGGCCCTGGCACCTCCAAAGCTTGAGGTTCAGGGGACAGAGATGGACGATCCGCGTGAGGGGCGTGTCCGTGTGCAGGTGCGTGTCCAGCGCAGGATGGATGGCGGAGTCCCGGATGTCTGTGTGTCAGGGGATGTCTGTCCAGTACCTGATGTCAGTGTCCACCCGGCCGTGTGTCTGATTCCTGGAAGTGGGTCTGACATGTGACGTGTCTGAGCACCGGATGAGTGCCCAGCACAGGACGTGTGTGATGACAGATGGTGCAGAAAACACTGGTTCTTTTGTTGGTCCGTGTATTCGGGGTATAAAGGCGAGGCTGTGTGCACTGGGCCCAGCGGTCTCTCCACATTTTTGTAAGGAAGCCCTGAACTTTTCTGTCGTGGGCGCAGCATTTTACCTTCTCACCTGCTGTGTGTCCAGTACCTGATGTATGTGCCCAAGCACTGGATGTGTGTCCAGCACCTTCTGTCCAGCACAGGATGTGTGTCTGTTAAGGGTTGTGTGTCCGGTCCAGGGATGTGTGTGTGTCGCCTCCAGTGTGTCCAGAAGGCATGTGTTTGTAGCATGGGATGTGACTCCGGTATCGGGTGGGTGTGTGATACCAATGTGTGTCCAGCACGGGATGTGTGTCTGGAACAGCATGTGTGACTAACACGGCATGTGTGTCCGAGCACCAGATGAGTGGCCAGCTCAGGATGTGTGTCTGGTCACAGATGTCTGCTCACCACCTGAAGTGTGTCCTGCAAGGGCTGTGTGTCCGTGCACTGGATGTCTGTCTGCTGGGACGTTTGTCCAACACGTGCTATGTGTTTGAGAAACAGATACGTGTCCTGCATGAGATGTGTGTCTGCTGCCTTAAGTGTGTCCGGTCCAGGATATGTGTCCAGTCTCGTCTGTGTCCAGCATCTGATCTTTGCTCATGCACCAGCAGTCTGTCCTGCACCAGATGCAACTGTGTACCAGATGTGGGTCCAGTAATATATGTGTGTTTGAGCACTGGATGTGTGTCCAGTGAGGGATGTGTGTCCAGCCCCCATTTGTGTCTGGTATTTATGTGTGTCCAGCATAGAATGTGCATCTGATAAGAGTGTGTCCGGCACTGGTAATGTGTCTATTAAGAGTTGTGTGTCCTGTAGGGATGTATGTCCAGATGTATGTCCAGCACGGGATGTTTGTCTGCTGTGTCTGGCAAAGCATGTGTGTCTGGCTTGGGATGTCAGTCAGGCAAGGGATGTGTGTCCATGCACAAGATGTGAGGCCAGTAGGGGATGTGTGTTGACGTAGGGTGTGTGTCCAACAGGATGTGTATCTCACGTGAGATGTGTTTGAACAACGAAGCGGGTGTGTCCAGGACAGAATGTGTGTTTGGCATGAGATGTGTGTCCAAGCCCTGGATGTGTCTTCTGTACCATCTGGGTGTCTGGCAGGGATGTGTCCAGCAACAGGTGTGTGTACTGGGTGTGTGTCTGGTGGTAGATTGGCCGTGCACCTGTGTGTCCAGCACTGGATATACGTTCAGGCATCGCATGTTCGTCTGGCACGGGCTGTGTGACCAGTAGGGGTGTGTGTGTCTGGTAAGAGCTACGTGTCCAGTACAGGATGTGTGGACCGCACTCTGTGTCTCTGATTCGGGAAAGGTATAGGAGGTAGGATGTGTGAGCGACAGGTGCGTGTCTGACAGGAGATGTGTGTCCAACACTGGTTGTGTGTCTGGTCTTGGAGTGTGTCCATGTACTGGATGTGTGTCTGGCAGGGATGTGCCCGGCAATGGATGTGCTTCCAAACACCCAGAGATGGTGCTTGACTCTGTGTGCGTGTGTGTGATACAGTGAGAGACAGAGAGAGAGAAAGAACAAAGTATATGTGTCTGGTACAGGGTGTGTACCTGGCACCGGATAGGTCTGCAACTCAGGGTATGTGTCCAGCATGTGATATGTGTTTGAACAATGGATGTGTGTCTGGCAGGAATGGGTCTTGTGCTGGATGTATTTACATCCCAGTGTTTGTTGGGCACCTGATGTGTGTTTGATCAGTTAGTCTCTGGCATCTCATGTGTGTGTCTTGCACAGGATGTGTCTTTGAGCAAATGCACATCTGACACCAATGTGTATCCAGCACGGGATGTTTGTCTGCTGCCTTAAGTGTGTCCAGTAAAGCATATTTTTCCACCATGGGATGTGTATCTGGCCCGAGATGTGTGTTTGAGCACGGGATGTGTGTCCGGACCCCTGTGTGTCTGGCATGGGATGTGTGTCTGGTACAGGACGTGTATATCTGGTATGGGTGTGTTTCCAGCACGGGACGTGTGTCCGTTGTTTCTAGTATGAGATGTATGTCCACAATCGGATGTGTGTAGTGTTTTACGAGCTGTTTTTCACTGCTGTGTAATACTCCATTGTGTAGACCACTGGTTTCCGTGTCCATTCACTGGTGATGGGGCTGGGAACGTTCTGAGCACATGCATTGTTTCTTTTGACGTGTGTGCGATTGTTTTACCTCTGTCTCTGGTACATTAGGTATGCAGCAAGATTTTCAACAAAAGTTGTCTTTGCGTCTATATTTTCAGTTTTATTATAATATAGATGTATACAGTATTGTATTGCTTTCCTTATTTCTTTTTGGCCCTTTTGTATTTCACTTGCTCCTGTTGGACTCCACCAATTTTACTCTCTTTCTATTGTTTGCCCCTTTTTTTGTGTGTTCCATTTATCAGAGGTTTGTGTACTTTTATTCTAGTCTTTTTGGTTGTCTGCAGGCTGTACTAATGCTCCTTGTGGTTTCTGTTGGAGTTTGTAGTCTTTCTTGCCTGTTTTCATCTACTTGTTGAAGGACACTGTGTGGAGGGTCCTTCTCTCTGTTGCTGATCCTTCCTCCTCTCAGAGACTCTCAGGACTGACTGTACTATTACAGTGGCTGTAGCTCGAGTATCTCAGAAAAGTCATGTATCCGAAAATGGTGAGGATCTATCAGTTATCTTAGGAACGGTGAGCGTGGCACAAGCGGAAAGTGGATTTCACACGAAGATAGGTGGTGTCGGGGTGTAAATGTCCACGTGTAGAAACCCGACATTACAGGCTGTTCTCCCTCTGACTCGGGGGGGGGGGTTTCAAAGAGGCCCTCAGCGCTTTACCACAGCGTCACTACAGCTCCTTAACAATAACCACAAGGTAAAACCTAAACCCATTTGTCATCTTAGTGTTAAATTTTTAAATTATTTTGTGTGTGTGTGTGTGTGTGTGTGTGTGTGTGAGTGTACCGACAAATCGGATCTGACTGGTACGGGAGGAGATTGCCCCTCCTTCTCCAGCAGAGCATCTGGTGGATTTGAACTGCGCGCCTCTGGGATTGCAGTGCAGCTTCTTGCCACTAGGCCACCAGAGCTCGCCCATTTCTCACCTGTATATTCGTTTTGACCAGCGACGGCGCTGCAGGACAGGGGTCAGGTGGCCCTTTGACACTCATGTCTCCTGTCTCCTGGGCAGCTGAGGAAACTCTGACTCACCCAGGGACTGGTCATCAGTCCGTGTTGCCTTGCGGACCTGGCTCTGCTGGTGGAACCAGGATCGGAAGTGTTGCAGACCGAGGGTATTTTTATAATTATCAATAATGAGCCAGGCAACCAGGAATGAGATAGAACAGAGAGCATAAAAAATGGGGCCAGCAGTTCCCATGACTGAAGGCCCCAAGCCATGCCTCTCTGGGTATTTATTGAGAATCATCAAGAAGGTAAACAACGGGAAATCATAAGGGAATACAAAACAAAAGCAAAGGATCATGGGGAAGTGTTTTGCAGATAAGGCCAAGTTCCTCTTTATACTGACCTCAGGAGGGAGGGATTCAGTTATTACAAACTAAGAACAGTGTTGACTCTTAGGGAAGCCTTAGTGCCACAAGGTGACCTTCAGCTTGTATTAAGCCTCCCTCGTATCCTGATACAGCATTTGGTCTACTATATCTGGCTTCCTTCAGGAAGTGTCTGTGGTCCATAGGAACTGTGTCCGTCCATCTCATGGGGTCTCCTGCTGACGTCTCCCAGCAGGCTGTCCCTGGGACTTGGAGCCCCTCAGAATCTTGCCCAGCACACGCGTGGGACGTGTTTGCCCCTTGTTGGCTCTAAGGAGCCCCTTGAAAGACGTCCCCCGGGACAAAGATGTGTGTGGTGCTGGCGGAAGGTGCAGACCCTCCCGTCCGGTTACAGCCCCTGAAGCCCACTGCAGGGTCACCTACTGGTCGCACCTGACGGGCAGGTCCACAGCAGAAACAGGGTAGAGGAGGCGGGGGGCATGTGCCCCCACAGCCTCTCCCCGACTTGGAGCCTGTGGGTCTTACACGGGAATGGGCAAGACCAGAGTAGAAATGAAGAGACGTTTGCAGTGTCTTCTCTGTAGAGATGGAATCAGCTCGGACCTGAACCTCCTGCAGGTTTTCAGAGGCAAGAAGTGAAAGGGGAGTAGCTGGTGGATTCGAACCGAGAACCTTCGGGTTGGCAGCACAGTGCGTGACCACTAAGCTAGTGGGGCTGCTCTCCCTGCAGGCCTGTGATTCTCAACTAGAGGCTGCAGGACTTGGAGGGAATCGAGTTCAGCTGTGGGTTGCAGCGCAGACAGGCGAGCGCCGGTGAAGAGTTTCAGTGTTGATGGGGGAGCTTCCCGTGTCCACCACCGGATGTGCATCCAACGGTGGGTGTTTCTGGTACAGAAAGTGACCAGCGTGTTCCTCGTGGGCTGTGTGTCCCCTCTGGGCTGTGTCCCGTATGGCACTGGATAAGCGTGTCTGGTGGTGGGCACAGTGGAGTTTTCAGTGTCTTGGAAATGCAGCTTTCCCTCCTTTTTGTCCTGTGCCCCAAGCAGGTGACCGGGCTTGTGTAGTGGTTGGAGGACACAGTGTCCTGGTCCTTTGCTGTCCTGGTCTCAGAGGGAAAGACCACAGAGTTGGTCTCTAGGGTGAACCCTGCAGGCTTTTCCCAGGACCAAGACACATTTTCTTTAGTATGAAATCGGGGTTCAGGCTGCTGGGAACCCCGACTTGACAGGGATGATGGAGGCGCCTGTGAGAAATGCAGGTTTGGTTCCAGGTCCTCATGTCCCGCCTTCCATTCAGCTGCCCGCTCTCTCTCCTCCTCTGGCTTCACTCGTCCCCGGCTCTGCGTGTGTGTGTGTGTGTGTGTGTGTGTGTGTGTGGTTTATTGGGCTCAGATTTGTGTACAGATTGAAAGGTTTTGGATCGAAACCAAGAACCACGCCGAGGAAGAGACAGATTTCTTCTCAAAGTTTATTGAGTGCCGGCTACTGAGCAAGGGGAGTAGCCCTGAGGGTCGGGCTCAGGGGTGTACATGGGGCCGCAGCAGTGGCTCAGTGGTGCATAAAGTTTCTGGTCTTGGGGAATGTCCTGACATAGGATTTGAGTTGGGCTTCCACCTCCATTTTGATTTTTAGCCTAACATTCCCACCTGTGGGGTGACAGGGGGTGAGGAGGTCTTCTGGCTGCTTCCTGCTGGATGGGGGTGTAGTGGGGTTTAAGGGAGGCGGGTATGTTACGCTTTCTCATTTGGAGGGAGCGGTGTGTACGTCACCATGCTCGGTTCACTGACGGTCTGGTTGGTAAATGCGCCAAACTGCTTCTGCAAAAAATTAGTGAAGATTTTGCATTAACACGGCCCACAGGTTAGTGCAAGAATGAACAGTAGCATAAGAAGTATGAAAGGCAGTAGCCATCCACCGTTGAAGGGAGGTATGATGGAGAAGAGAGTATATGGATTGGGGACGACTGGATGTACTTACTGGTCGTACGAAATTGCTATCTCAGAGATCTTGCACTAGGCAGTATGAGCTATCTGGTTTCTTTACTGGAAGGATAGGAGTGTTGTAAGGAGAACCAGTGGGGATTAAAACCCTGGTTTTAAGGGTTATAATGGTTTCAGTCCTTGGAGATGTCTATGGAAAGGAGGTTTGGTTCTTTAATAGTAATAGGAGTGTGATATGTAGCTTAATGGCTTAGAGGTTTCCCAAACTATAGGATCAACTTGATGGGGTGACAGTGGGAAAGTGGAGGTGGGGGGAGAGCTTTCTTGGGAGGTAAGCAGAGAAGGAAAGTTGTATTGGACTATGGCTGGGGGTGAGGATTATAGAGGCTTAAAGTTTACTTAAAATATCTCAGCCTAGTAGAAGAGGAATGAGGCACTGCGGTATGAGGAATTGATGAATAAACTGTTTTTGAAATAAGCGTAATAAGGGAAGAATAATGCATGGGCTGTTAATTTCCCTGTTACTTCCACTAAGGGAAGAATAATGCATGGGCTGTTAATTTCCCTGTTACTTCCACTATGTTGGTTTGGGAGAGAACAGTAGGCTGTATTTGGAGAATTTGATTGAGAGGACCTCTGGTCAAAAATAGGTCCTGTTTTGAATGCTGCGTGAAATAGGACAGCCTCGACTGAGGTCCAGTGTTGAACTGGGGCGGGGTGATAATCCAGTCTGTAGCAGGTGGTCAAGTGCACATCTAGCAGGAGGACCACTGTGGGTTCGCTTGGAAAAGCAGCAAGGCAGGACTATGACTGGGAGAAAGGATGAGAGCGTTCAGAGAGACAGTTTCAGTGATTGTTACGGAAAAGATGAGGAGGAACAGAAATTTCAGAAACAGAAAGAATAAAAAGGTATTTGGTCGGTCGGACTTAAAGTCTTGGCGAGACCAGTGCTTGAGGAGAGCAAGTGATCTTATAGTGTGGAGAGGGTTCCTAGGATTGAGTTCTAAGGTCCAGTTAGTACTGAAAAGGGAGAAAGAAAGACTGGATTTAGAATTGGATTGCACCCCAAAGGTAACTCCTTCTGTATGGGTTTGAAGACCAGATAGCAACATGGTAATCATTAGACTAATGCCAATTGTCAAAGTCTCTGAGAGTGTTGATACACGAGTGCCCAACAGAGGGTACCAGGGTTCAGAGAGAGAGTCAAGACAGCAGCGAGAGACACACTGTGTCTTGAAAGAGAGCACGCGAGAGACAGAAAGCGTACACACTGTGTCTTGAAAGAGAGCACGCGAGAGACAGAAAGCCAGAGAGCGTGTACACACACGTACACGTGCGCACGCACGCACGTACACACGTACACACACACGAGAAAGAGAGAGACACAGAGACTCCTCCGCCCCCAACGACTGGGGCGGGTTTCCCTGTCTCCGGTCTTGAACCATGTACCCTGGGTATTGGCAACACGGCTCCTTGTCCGGGTTGCCATCCAGGTTTCACAGGAGTAGTTGCCTTTTTTTAGGGGCTTATTTCTTCAACTGCTTTTCCCCACAGGTGGAAATAGTCACTTGAGCTTAGAGCCGACCCTAACTTGAGTCAGGTGTTCCTTATGTTCCTCATGCCAGTTTTTTCCCTTTTATTTTCTACCATCTTTCCTCTATTTTATTGAAATGAATGATCAACATTATGAAAGGCCACACAGCTTGCAGAAACTCACATGGTCATGGTGAATCATGGTGAAGGCAGAGCCATGTTCGTAAAATCTAAGAAGACAGGCCTGGAAATCTGATACAAACAAATAACGTTCCTTCTTGAACACTCTGAGAACACAGTTTCCCCCCAACCTGTGGGCCGTGAGTGTGTGACTCTGTTCTGCTCATTACGTTCATACTCTGCGTGACACTAAGACCCTGTGTCCTCACTGCTGCCCGGTCCAGGGACATTCACATGACACATGGACGTCGAAAGCCAGGTCTTTCTTCCTGATTCTCCCTCACCTGGTAGTTCCACTGCAGCCTGTTCGGCGTCCTGCCGGTCAGTAAGCTGCCGCTGACCGGTGAGTGGCCACTGCACACGAGGTGCACTGACCAGGGACTGAACTCAGATCCGCCCCCTGCAGGAGCCCAGGTGTGTCCAGCAGACAGGACTCACGACACTGAGGGAGAAAGAATCGGCAAGCTGCTTCTGCACGTTGTCTTTTGTTGGTTTTTTTTTAAAAAAAAACCAAACAAACCAATTTTCCAGTGACATTTTAGTTATTTTATTTTATATTTTATTGTTGTTGTGTGCCCTCGAATCAGATCTGACCGGCACAGCAGGAAACTGCCCATCCTTCTCCAGTGGAGCACCTGGTGGACTCGAACCACACACCTTCAGGATTGCAGTGCAGCTCCTTGCCACTAGGCCACCAGAGCTCCTGTTGTTGGTTTTTTGAAAAAGCAGCTCCCTGTGGAAGCTGGGAATTGTACAACTGAGCCCACACAGCCTGTATTTTAGGAGAGATGAGAAAGGTTTGGGTTTCCCCAAGGTTCTCTTCCATTCGTGACCATCCATGAGCATCTCCAGAGTCTATTTTAAAAGCATACGTGGAAAGTCATTGTATGTATTCTGTCAATGCTTTTGAGAGACACAAAGAGAAACACACACATACATACACAGTCAGAGAGACGGACACACAGGGACAGACACACAAACACACACACACAGAGAGTGAGGCACAGAGACAACGAAATACAGATAGATAGAGACACACAGAAAGAGACAGAATGAGACAGAGAGTGAGAAACAGACACAGAGAGAGAGTGAGCATGAGAGACAGACAGAGAGAAACAGCGAGAGAGAGACAAGAGAGCCAGCCAGAGCCAGAGACAGACAGAGAGCCAGAAAGCACAGAACAGAGAGGCAGAGAAGGACAGACACACACACACACAGAGACAGCGACAGCCACAGTGAGACACAGAGAAAGAGACAGAGAGACACAGCAAGAGACTGTAGACACAGAGAGCACAGAACAGAGACAAGCACAGACAGACAGACACAGAGACAGAGAGAAAGAGAGTGTGAGCATAGAACAGAGAGAGACAAAGAGACACGGAGAGAGAGAGAGAGAGACAGAAAGCACAAAACAGAGCCAGACACACAGAGCGAGACAGAGAACGAGACACAAAGAGACACAGATACTGAGCGAGAGAGATACAGGGAGAGACACACAGAGAGAAGGAGAGCAAGGCAGAGAGAGCGAGACACAGACAAATACAGAGAGAGAGAAACAGAAAGAGCTAGAGAGACAGAGAGGGAGACAAAGTGAGACAGCAGAACAGAGAGAGGCAGAGACAGAGAGCACAGAACAGAGCCAGACACACAGAGAGACAGAGAGCCAGGGCGAGACAGATCCAGAGAGACAAAGTGACAGAGTGAGGCAGAGAAAGAAAGAGAGACACAGACAGACAGTCCCAGGAAGAGAGAGAGAGCGAGACAGACACAGAAAGAGAGTGAAAAACAGAGACAGAGTGAGAGACAGCACAAAACAGAGATAGACAGAAAATGAGACACAGAGAGACAAAGACACAAAGACAGAGAAAGAGACACACAGAGAGCAAGACAGAGAAAGACAGAGACAGAGGAGAAAGATGGAGAAAGAGGCACAGAGAGATAGAAACAGACAGACAGAAAGGGCCAGAGCGAGAGAGACAGAAAGAGCGAGACACAGAAGACAGAGCGAGAGAGAGACAGAGATACAGAATGAGACAAAGACACACAGACAGACAGAAACAGAAAAAGATAGAGACACACAGAGAGGCAGTGACAGATGGAGAGACAGACAGAGACACAGAAAGCACAGAACAGAGACAGTAGAGAGACACAGACAGAGAAGAGACAGACAGAAAGAGACTGACAGAAGAGAGATACAGAGATCAAGACACAGAGACAGAGTAAGAGACAGAGCGAGAGAGCCAGAGAGACACAGATAGACACACAGACACAGAGAGAGCCAGACAGACGGAGAGAAAGAGACAGACAGAGACAGAACAGAGAGAGGCGGAGCCAGACAGACACAGAGACAGAGTGGGAGACAGTGAGACAAAGACACATAGAGACAGAGCGAGAGAGAGACAAACACAGGGAGAGCCAGAGACAGACCAGAAAGAGACAGAGTCAGAGAAAGACAGAGTGACAGAGACAGAGCGAGACAGAGACAGCACAGAACAGAGAGACTGACAGAGAGAGAACGATAGACAGAATGAGAGACACACACACAGAGAGAGAGACAGCAACCTGAGGGCGTAAGGTGTTCTTTCAGTACCTTTGGTTTTCACGGGAGGCGCAAACTGGCCGTGCGGTTCCTCAGGGAGGCCAGGGTCCAGCGACGAAGGCGGCGTCTGTTCCCTGCGTCACTCTGTGCCTTCTGTTTCAGGGCACCCAGTCCTGTGTACAGTGGGGGGAGAGGGGCCACCCCTGGTGAGAGCTGGATTTTAAAACAAAATCAAAGGGGGATCCTGTTACCCTCACACTTGAGGCCTCCGTGAGATCCTGATGCTGTCTGATGAGGCCTCCAGCTGCCCTGACGCTGTATTAGAACCGGAGAGTCTGAGAAGGCGGGTGGACAGTGACGGCTCCCGATAGTATTTGTTGTTGTTGTTACTACTGAATCGGATCTGACCCGCACAGGGGGAGATGGCCCCTTCTTCTCCAGCAGAGAATCTGTGGATTTGAACCGTGTGCCTTCAGGATAGCAGCACAGCTTCTTGCCACTAGGCCAGCGGAGCTCCCTAGTCCTGATGGTAATAAATCCTTCCCTGTGATTTTACAGGCTGACCACACTGGAGCCCCGGCTGTGAGGACTAACTCTCCCCGGCCCCCACCTGAGAAGTGGAGGCGGAGATCATGGGGTCTCTCCTTACCTGGGACCACGACAGGGAACCCACAGGCCACGCAAAGACTTGCACCTCAGTTCTGTGAGGGAGTCCAGGGTCCAGCGAGGAAGGCGTCTGTCTGCTCAGCTGTGGACCTTAGAGCCTTCAGCACACGTGCTGCTCTTTACATGCTGGGAGAGGAGGGCCGCCTTGTGGCCAATCCTGGATTTTGAAACCAAGTCAAAGGAGCAGCCTGTGAGCAGGGAATTTACCTCTCCTCACGAGAGCAGATAAAGGAACTGAAGAGCATCGTGAGTTTTAGGAACCACTTTAGGAAGTCGAAGGGGAGTGTAGAAGCAAGTCACTGGGCCATCTGGGCAGCTAATGGGCACCGATTGGTGCTGAGACCAGCGGTAACCCTTCCTGTGATTTTTTTTACAGGCTGGTCACCCCAGATCCCAGCTGTGTGGACTCCACGACTCCCTGCCCCGCACCTGCCGAGGGGACAGAGGACGGGCCGGAGACTGTGGAGTGAGCAGATCCAGGCGCCTCTGCTCACCCCGGGCCCTGACAGGGAGCTCACGAGCTGGTAAGTCGGTCTCAGCTGCATCAGGGAGTGCAGGGTCCAGTGAGGAAGGTGCATGCTCACCTGTGTCACTTCAGGCCGAATCTTCAGCGCCACACTGCTTCCTGAGAAGGTGAGAGAGGAGGGCCACCATCTGGTGAAAGCTAGATTGTAAAATCTAATCAAACAGGGAGCTTGTAGCAGGAATTTTGGACTCAAATATCCAGTAGAGACTCGCTCGATGATCGTCTTTTTCTCAGACCACCAGGCTGCTGACTCTATTGGGGTGAGCGACACCCTGTTACTCAGGCCTCAGGATCATAGAGAAATGCACGTCCACGAGGGTTGTTCAAATGCCCGCAGAAGCAGCAGAGGCTCCTCTAAGACGACGGAGTCCTACAGACAACCTGGGACACAGGGCACCCGCCACAGGCCCGGGACACCAGGTCCAGCTGTTCCTTTGTGTGTTTGGGAGCTGGGTCAAACCAACCATAATCCCAATTTACCGTCGTGGGTTGGAAAGGACTCACAGCTGACCCTCCAGTGGGTCTGCTAGGACTGTCCATCCCAGGGGGGATGGATAGAGCTTCCTTTTGTCCTGAGCTGCTGGGGGATTTGAAACACCCGGAGGGATTTGCCAGCACCCAGCACAGCAGCTTTATTTCTGGAAGGAACCTGCCTGGGTTTTCATCCAACATTTATGAACTGAACAGGGTTTCTGTACAGACAGAAAGATGCCACAGAACAAGGACTTGCACCGTTCTCGTCTCCTGTGTGGCTTAACTCTCATTAGTTGGGTGTCTGTTCATCTCCAGTATTTTTACTCAGGGAAGGGGGGGGCTCAGAATGTACCAACTTCGTCTGAAACCTCCCAGGAGCAAGGACACTGGAGAGGAGTGAGCACTGTCCTCACACCAGGCAGGGCGTCCCCCGTTTCCTCAGCACCAGGCAAGGCGTCCCCTGTTTCCTCACACCAGGCAGGGCGTCCCCACGTTCTGTGTGCTGCAGACCTGCCGTGGGAATGTGGAACTGTCTGTATAAAGGAGAAATGTGCAGCCAGGTTATATTTCTGTTAATGAGTCTCAACCAAGGCTCTGCTGAACTCCAGGGGGTTTCCTTATTCCTTAGTATGTTTATGAACAGCTGCACAACAACAACAACAAAAAAAAAACGGGACTGTGGCTCAGACCTCAAAAAGAAACAAAGTCTCATACTTAACTGTAACCGGTTAATCTTGAGAAAGTAAAGTCAAGCATGACACACTATGCAACTGGAAGGAGGTGGGAGATTATTTGAGAAGAACTAGTTTGTATTCTGAAGGACAGATAATCTTGGAAACCTGTTAACAGGGATGATGGTACTAGATGTAAGGGGCTAATGGCTCTAAACCACATTAAAACGTGGCTGGCTGGTGTTGCTAAAAGTTTGGGCTCCTCTGTTTTTAACTATGCTGTTCCCTCCCCACCCCAAAAATTAAAGGATAATTCATCCTAGTACGATAAAAAGAAAGAGGACTAGGTCTAGAAAAAGGGGAGAAAGTCTCATGAACTATTTGGGTAGTTTCTGAATCCCTCACTGCTGACCCTGACAGAGAGGCAGGTCACTTTCCCAGGGGCGTCCTGTTCAGAAGACTGAAAACACATCCACGTACAGATACACCTCAAAGACAGGAATCCCTTGAGGTCCTGTGATTATGAGGGGGAGGGACCTCTAACAACGGAGTTTCAGAAAAAGGCATGTGCGCATGAGCTGAGACCCAGAGACCCAGCCGCTCAGACGTGACAATGGTGGTAAAGCAATCATTCCGGACGTCACAGCAGATTGCTGTGTTCTGTCCACCCAGAACTGACCCCTTGCTGACCAGCCTGGGGGTTTTTAGTGGCTGTAAATCACACAGGAGGAGACTGTCCATCTGTCTCCTCTGAGCAGCTGGTGGATTCGAACCACGCACCTGTGGGTTGTCAGCGCCCCTCTTCACTGCTGTCCAAACGGGCACAGATCTGGGGATAAACCTAAATGGCACCGTTATTCTCAATAAGCAAGAAACACAACAGGCCGGGAAGACAGGAGCCGAGGGCAGCTGAGTGCAGGGTGGGACACGAGGGCCTGGGACTGACCCCGCATCTCCCACAGGCACCGCCACAGCCACTGAGAAGTTGGGGATCAATGGCCTGAACCCCGATTTTATACTGAAGAAACCAGGGCTTTTTCCCTCCTGGAGACACAAGGCAGGAGGGGACACCGAAGACGAGGGGACGTTCACTCCAGAGTAGGCGGCTGACCCGTGTTCCCGCCTCAGACACGATGTCTGTCCCCCGTGTGTCCACCAACACTGAACCCAAGTCCTCGGAACAAGTCACAAAAGGACACGTCCGGAACTAACCCCACAAGCCAGGGACACTTATCATACCGGACCCAGACACACATCCAGTGCTGCACATGGACATACTTAAGGGACAGACCCAGACAGACATCAGGTGCCGCACCCAGACACACTTCAGGAGCTGACAACTCACATCCGGTGCAGCACCCGGACACACTTCAGGGACGGACAACTCACATCCGGTGCTGCACCCGGACACACTTCAGGGACAGACGACAACTCATATCAGGTGCTGCACCCGGACACACTTCAGGGACAGACGACAACTCATATCAG